CAGCGACGCGGGAGCAGCGCCTGGGGGGCTCCGTGGCCCGGTGCTCGAGGCAGCGACCCGTGGCTACCCGTATAGTGACAACAAAGAGCCACAAATGGCCGCAGGTAAGTTGAAACAAAACAATTTATAAAAGAGGCTTTAAGTCCAACAAACTGTCTTGGCCAGCACTAACGGACAATGATACAGGATGAATTTGTAGTCGTGTCTCAAATAAAAAACATTTTACTATTAACACACACTTCAATAGCAGCATTAACCTACACAGCGCTTTACAAATGCCTAAATCACTTGCATGTGGAACAGAGTAACTGGACAGCCTGCTTCCTGGGGTGTCGCGATTTTGCACGAGCAACTCAATCTCTCAGCTCATTCTTTGTCACAGTGATATTTTGTCCCAGATTCTACTGCCGCTCACCTTTCCACTTCCTGGGGCTTATAATTCCCAAGGCTGATTGGCCCAGGACACATGGCATGCTGGCAGCACACCTAGTATTTTTTTTAACTTGTCTGAGCTCAGATATTTAGGAGAAAAAAGGGGCAATTGGCTAAACACTCCTCCACCCTTTGGGGCAGAGGTCTGTGTCACAGCAGACCCAGCAAAGACCAATATGGGGATAATGCTGTCATCTTTCTGTGGGGGCGGAAGGGAGAAAAAGATGATTGCCTGCTCGCCTAGGGAGATGGACAGTTGAGTTGGGGGTGGGGGGCATGGTGGAGGTGAGGAAGGGTCTGTATGAGCAGTAAGGATGCCTAGACTGATGTGTGAGCCACTGTGCCCGTGGTCATGCCAGCTTTTGCTGCATTTCCCTTTCTCTTGCAGTGCTGCCCTCTTTGGCTCAGAGGTGGACTTGGGTTCCAGGTTATACCTGGCCGTTTTCCCATGGAACACTGCATGCATCAAGGGACAGAACCAAGAGACAGGTATCAGAGGGGTAGCCGTGTTAGTCTGGAACTGCAAAAGCGACAAGGAGTCCTGTGGCATCTTATAGACTAACAGATGTTTTGGAGCATAAGCTTTCGTGGGCAAAGACCCACTTCGTCAGATGCATGCAGTGGAAATTTCCAGAGGCAGGTATAAATATGCAGGCCAGAATAAGATCCAAGCACTGATTCTGGCCTGCATATTTATACCTGCCTCTGGAAATTTCCACTGCATGCATCTGACGAAGTGGGTCTTTGCCCACAAAAGCTTGTGCTCCAATACATCTGTTCGTCTGTAAGGTGTCACAGGACTCCTCGTCGCTTTTGCAGAACCAAGAGTTTCCCTTCAGGAGCTAGGCTGGTCCCGCCCCCTTCCCTCCCCTGATCAGTGCTGTGAAGCAGAAGTGGCTTTCTAACCTCGGGGCACATTCAGGAAGGGAGATACTGAAGGTCCACAATAAATTGCAGCTGCAAGATTGCAGACAGGACTATTGAAAGGCTCAAAGATGCACCCTCCAAATTGGAGGGCAAGTCAAGATGCTTTTTAAATAAGCAGAGTCTTACAGATCTGGACAAGTGTAAGAAACTTCCTGCTAGAGTGTCATAACAGACAGGGATCGAGCAACCCTAAAGATGCCCAGCTGTTTTCTTCAAGGATCTTGAGTTTGCGTCTCACTTGCTGTATTTATCTTCTCGTAGACAGCTATCAGTGCATCCACAATCTCTGCAGAAGACAAGGAGAATTTGTTTTCTGATCAGAATACTTGCAATCGATTTCTGTCCTGGCGGGATGATTGCTACTTACTCACTGGACAGGACACAGGATCGCTTCATTAGAGGCGTACAGCTAGTTCAGATTAGAAGCCTAATCCGAACTAGCTAGTCCATGCTGCGTGTAGCCACGCGGCACGGGGTCCGAACTAGCCGGCATTTAAAAATGGCGCCGGCCGGCTTCATGCAAATGAAGCCCGGGAAATTCAAATCCCGGGCTTCATTTGCAACTGCGGATGACTACATTACCCCCGCTAGTTCGAACTAGCGGGGTAGTGTAGACATACCCTAAGTTACTGGAGAAAATGAAAGTGACTGTTTTACACAGTGCAGGGGTAACAAAAAAGGAGCAAGCATGTACAGCGGAGACAGACCCATATGGAGAAGTGACTGGGAGAGGCTGTGGAAAGATTTATTTTAAGGCAAGTCAGAATAATGGAGATCTCCAGAAGAGAGAGGTGGGTAAATATAGTAAAGTAGCCAATTAGCCCGCCATAAGACGGGATTTTCAGGTCTCTCCTCCACGTTGGTCTTCTCTCCTGAGCCTCCAGTCTCTCTTCTCCTCCTACTGCCTCCCCATCTCTCTCTCTCAGCTCTCCTCCGCCTTCTGCCTCTCTCTCTTTCTCTTCTCCCCCTCCTGCCGCTCACTCTCTCTTTGCTCTCCTCTGTCTCTGTTGGGGATGCACGCTTGTCCAGGCCCCACTCCCTGGGCGTGTACGTCACCGTCCCCACCCCCGCCCCTCTTCGCCTTCCTCCATGGCGCTCAGCTGACTTCTGCGCTGCTCAGCCGGGCCACTACACAGCTCAAGCGGCCGTTTAGGTCCTGTGCTCCCTATGCAGCATTCCCATGCTGCATGAGGAGTGCAGACCCCAAACGGCCGCTTGTGCTGTTTGCTTCCGCACGGAGACCCGGCTGAGCAGCGCAGAACTCAGCCAAGCACCATAGCGGGAGACAACAGTGCTGCCCAGAGGGAACAGCCAGCATTTCAGCATTACACAGTCACAGACACTGGGCTACTATATATATGATAAGCGAGGGCCAAATGCAGCCTTTCACTGAAGTGAGAAGGAGCTGGCCAATTTGATGTTGAGTCCTCGCAAATGGCAGTTTTAGTGCTAGCTCTCAGCACAGTGAGGGTACGTCTACACAGCAGCGTTATTTGGGCGTAACTGACGTTATTCCGAAATAACACAGTGCGTGTCTACACAGCAAGCCTTTATTTCGAAATAATGTGAAGCTGGAGGACTTCTCGCTCCGACTCATGGCAACCCACGTTTAATGAGGAGTAAGGGAAGTTGCAGGAAGTGTGCTCTTCCTTCGACTTTCTGCTGAGTAGCTAGCGCCAAAAGCTGAAATAAGCTATTTTGACTTACGCTATGCAATTGACATAGCTCAAGTTTCATAGTTTATTTTGGCTTTAGCCTTGCTGTATAGGTGTGCCCTTAGAGACTAACCAAAACATAGAGTCATGAGCTTTCGTGGGCAAAACGCACTTCAGTCCAGTTCCTCTGAGGAGGTGGGTTTTGTCCATGAAAGCTCATGAGTCTATATATTTCGGTTTGTCTCTTAGGCTATGTCTACACGGAAGCAGTGTTTGGAAATAATTCACGTTGGATGTGGGACTTCCTGGGTGAAGTTTGCTGGCCTTTGTTGTGCAGATCAGACCGGATCCTCACTGGCACCGTCTCAGAGCTAAACTGCATGTGTCCCTCCCCCACCTACTCACTGTGCAGGGTTCCTAGCCATCGCCTCTGAGGCGGAGACCCCATCCCTCTCCCTCCAACCCAGGGCTTTAGGCTTGCAGACGCTTCACCCCTTGCTGGGATTTCCAGGTCCAGCAGCACCCTTCCCCCCCTCCCCAGGAGCTAGTATTGCTGGCAAGGGACTCCTCCCAACCTTCCGCAGAAGGGCGTTGTGAGGGTTCAAAGGTCCGGCACCGATTGATGATCTCCTGCAGGCCGGAGGGACACTCTTCCCCCAAGGGAGCCTGGTAACGTTGCTCATAGACTTTCTGGTAGATCTCTACAGAAGAGCAGCCTGCCACAACACAGAAATCCCAGTGTCAGGAGGCACCGCCTGATCCCAGAGGCCACGAGAACTTCAAACAGCGGTGGGCAGCCACACAGACTGAGTGGGCTGAATGAGTGGCCTTCCTTCATCTCAGTGGGTCGCAGCAGCCCAGATCCACAGGGGTTCCTCCTGCGATCCCCACAGGCCCCCTGCCTCCACCCCAGTCTTGCGTACTGAGGCACGGTAGCCCCGCACTTACCTATGCCCCCCACTCCCTCCCAGAGTGGGAACCCCACAAATCAGCTGTTTGCGGCTGTTCAAGCCCCGGGTGGGTGGGGGAGGAGCACAAATCAGGCAATTTGCAGTGCTCTGAAAGTGCTGGGAGGGGGAGGAGTAGGTAAGTGTGGGGGGGGGGCAGGGTGCAAGAGGCATGGGGGAAGGAGGGCAGGCAGGGGGCCTGTGGGCTGCAGGTGCAGCCCCAGTGGGCCACATGCAGCCCACAGTTTGCCCACCAGGCTTAAACAGAGCCCCAATTGGCCTGGAAAGCCTACAGTGGGGAAGAGCTGGGATTGCAAGCCTTGTAACATGGGGCATCCTTGAGGAAGTGAGTCTGGCCCACGAAAGCTCATCATCTAATAAACCATCTTGTTAGTCTTTAAAGTGCCTGCAGGTGCAGCCCCAGTGGGCCACATGCAGCCCACAGTTTGCCCACCAGGCTTAAACAGAGCCCCAATTGGCCTGGAAAGCCTACAGTGGGGAAGAGCTGGGATTGCAAGCCTTGTAACATGGGGCATCCTTGAGGAAGTGAGTCTGGCCCACGAAAGCTCATCATCTAATAAACCATCTTGTTAGTCTTTAAAGTGCTACATTGTCCTGCATTTTGTAACATGGGGCATCCTTAAGGAACTCCTCCGCAACACCCCTGCCTGCAGAAGGCACATCCGTCACTTCAGGGGCATGAAGCACATGCCTAGGGATGGGATTAGACGTGCTTACAATTCAGTGTGTGTCTAGGTGCTTTGCTGAGCTGGATCCTAAATTCCAGGCAAGAGTCCAGCGTTAAAGCAACTCCGCCGTCTGGTCCATGCGGATAGAGACCTGTTGGACCATCTTTCAGTCCTTCCATAGTCCCTCTGGATCTGATGCTCTGAGCAGTAGATCTCTATTGGGAGCGTTTGCCACGAGGTACATTTGATCCCAAATATCACCCAGCATCTGCAGAGCACATCTGGACTGGCCCACAGGGTGCTCAGCCAGATGCTTGAGATAGGACTGAAAAGAAACCCCCTTTGCCCACCTTCAAATGGGATTTTGCCGGTCGCGATCTCCCACAGGACGATCCCAAAGCTGAAAGGACACAAACAGGCCTGCTGAGCCTAAAGAAAGCCTCCTCCCCCTTCCCCCGCCCATGCTCATCAGCTGTGCCGCTTGCTGGATAAAGTGTTGGGGAGAGGAGGAAGGTGAAACTCCCACTGCCCATCTAATGAGCACGTCATCTCAAAGCGGGCCCTCCGGCCTCCGCACGAGCCACCAGCTGCCCTCCCACACAGCATACTCCTCTGCACTGGCCCTGCTAGGCTGGCTGGCTCCTGGGAGTCTTCTGAAAAGGAATGACTGCTGCCCAGCCATGTGTCCAGTCCCGTGGGGGGCAGAACTCGGCAGGTGAAATCCATTTCCAGTGGGACATTACTCTCCGTCGGTAGCAACCTCCACTCACAAAGCCCTCTATGCACATTAGCTCTGCCCTCCCCATAGGGTAGCTATGTGACACCAGTCCCCTTTAACAGAAGGGGAAGCGAATGTGGAGAGTCAGGGATAGAACCCAAGACTTCCAGCCCCCTTCTCCCACCTTTATCTCGTACAGAACTTGTCTAAGAGCCTGGCATCCAGCAGCACGTCCATCCCTGCTGTGCCCTAGCCCAGCGCCCCAGGGAGAGGTACCTGTATATTTCACTGGGCACATCGTACATGTGGCTCAGGGAGGCGAGGCCCAGGGGACAGATGTAAGCTGAAGCAGGGACCTGGGTCTGTTTCTTCTTGTAGCCCCTCTTCAGGGACGACTCCGTCTTACTCAGTTCAAACCCGGAGAGCTGAAGGGGAGGAGGAGCGACAGAAAGGAGGAGCAGGGCACATCCCCTGCAGTCTGCTACGCGTCAATCACCGCATAGCCGGGCCTTAGCTCAGGGTTAGTCGGCTGATTTCCCCTGGCTTATATTGCGGCCTTTTCGTTGCCACGAGACCAGACGGAGCACTGCGAGAACTTAGTGCACCTGCTCCATAGCGTGGGAGCTACATAGGCCTGGGGCCAGAGCCCTCCCTTGGGGCTGTTTGCATAGTGCCTAGCCCAGGGAGTCCTGCTCCTACACGCTGCTGGGCAACTAGTCATCCATAGCCATGGAGCCCACTTTCCGGAGAGGAAGTGAGTGAAAAGTGGGGGGGGGGGTATTCCCTGCCAGGGTCTCCGCAAGGCAGCGGTGCCGTTTTCAGTATAAGAACCAGCTGCACCTTGGAAAACAGGCTGTGTAAAGCAGCCTGACGTTAACGTCTAAATGCTCCACCCGAGGGTCCTGCTCGGCTCGGGCTGCCCCAGCGGGCTGGCGGTGGGGGAGAGTTCGAGGGGGCAGTCTGCGTTAGGATGGGGGATTCAGGTGTCCCAACTGCCTGGTAAATTCGCATGGACCCAGTGGATGCTTGAGGCATGACTCCAGAGAGAGGAAGTAGCTAGCCACAAAAGCCTCCATGACCTCCAAACACCCCTCTGCAAGACAGCGCTTACCTTCACGCAGTAACCTTTAGCAACCAGGAACTTGCTACTGTTGATGCAGCCATGCAGTTTGGACTTCGCCGCCGTCTGGTGCAGCCTGCAGCCAGTCAGGAGCAAGAGCAGAAAGCATTAGCAGCGCCCCCAGCCACCCGCCTGGACCTTTGCACACCTGCGGAGCATTCAGAAGCCACCTCTGGGTGCCAGTTATTCTGGGACAGCAGCCCCAGGTCAGACCCTTCCAGAGCGTACCAGACAATCATTTCTGGCCTGTACAGAGGCAAGCCAGCGAATGCCTTTGGTGGGCAGTGCCCCGGTCATCTCTAAGACAGCATTCCCAACGCTCTCGGAGGGCTTGACAAGGGACTGCTGGAAAAGCAGCACCAGATATCGTGGGAGAATGGCTTTTCCCACCTGGCTCCAGCCAGGTTCACAAGCCAAGAGCATCTGGGCATTTTCTTCGCTAAACCCAGCCTCCCGTCACTTCTCCTATGCCTCCGTTTCCCCTTTGCATCCTACACATAGCTGGTGCCCCAGTCTGTGCCTCTCCCTCGTTCACAGCCATGGAGCCAGCATCAGAGAACGGTCCAAAGCTCAGTTCCTTCCTCACCACAGTCTTGCATCTCCTGACCAGCTCCTCTTGTCCACGAGCGCTAACTTCTCAGTGACTAGCCCCGCTCAAGGAGCTCTCTCTCCTTTTACAGCCTACCCCTCAGCCCTCCTGTTCCCTTCCCCGAGGGCAGCGATGGGCAGCCGAGGCTAGTGAGCGGGCTGCATGAGTAGCCTCCTTCATCTCAATGGGCCGCAAGACCAGCACAGCCAGGAAGGTCTCCGGGGACAGGGCGGTGTGCTCACTGCGCTGGTGTCCCTGGCCTGTGTGGGGGTGCCAATTGACCCATCGCAGCGGTGGGGTGGGCTGCAGGGGGAGTGCATGGCCCTCCCCATCAGTGCTAGGTGCAGTCAGTGCGCACCTCCCTTCCTGGGCCCTGGCTTTCCGTGTGTGGCACCTGAGTAACACCGGTAGGAAAAAACTGACGTGGGTAGAATGCCGAATCTGACCCCCCGGCGCGTGGGCAGCGGCAAACAGAATGTCTGGCGGGACCCCAATGGGCCACACGGGGCCTGCTGGCCACAGGCTGCTCCCCACTCTCCTTTTTGTACTGTCCCTATTAATGAACAGGCGCTCCCAGGGCCACGTCAGGCCTCGTTCTCCTGGCGGTCACCAGCCCCGCGCCGTACCTGTAGAGGCCCCTCGCTGCGTCCACTGCCATCCGAACGCGAGTCTCCCAGGGGAGCCCAGGCTTCTTGGTCAGCACGTCCCGCAGGGTCCCCTTTTCACAGTACTCCATGACAATGGAGAAACGAGGGCTCGAGCCTGGCCAGGACAACAGTCCGGTGAGTGGAGACCTCGGCAGAGACCGCCCACGTGCTTAGAGATGCAGAATCCCGGGGCAATGCATCCCTTGGGTCGAATGCTAAGTGACCTTTCGTGGGAAAGCAGCTTTTAGTTTAGGCACTGCGTTGCGCATGGGCATGGTCCTCCCAGCGTCCTTGTTCCCTTGGCATATCTCTGGTCTCCAGGAGCGAGGGGGAATGCACGAAAATGTACCCGATGAGAACCCCTTAATTATATTTATCCAGCGACACCATTTCCAATTCTACGGAGCCTTATTCCAGGAGATGGAAGGCTATTTCCAGCTCCTCCTCGCAGGACAGGCCACTCACATGTCCCACCTACAAAGACGACAACTGCTGGTGGACGCCAACAAGTGTTGCAAGGAAATGTCCACCGCAGACAGGAGTCTTCTACTAAGGCAGGGGTCTCCAACCTTTTTACACCCAAGATCACTTTTTAAGTCTCAGAACAGGCGAAGATCTACCGCCCCGCCGCTTCCTTGAAGCCCCGCCCTCTCTATTCTCCTGTCCATCACTTGCTATCCCCAGCCCTTATAATTCATGCTATTTAAATGTCAAATGAAGCATTTACAATTCTACATTTTGTTCTCTGCTATTTTGTAAATCTAAAATCAAGTATTGATGATTATATATTTTTTTCTTCCAATAACAAAGTCTCAGTGCGACACCTGTGACTGAACAGTATCTGCCAGTGTCTTGAAGTCTGGGTTGTAGTCTGAGATTGCTAGTTGTATATAGTCCATCAGCTGGGCATCTGTGATCCTGCGCTCAGCCTGGGAAGCTTGCTCCAGCACAGCTAGAGCTAGATGCAGCCTCCCTGGGCTGAGCGCAGGGCAGCCGGGCTGGAGGGAAGAGAAGTAGCTGCCCGGTCAGCTGGCCATGGCGCTCAGCCAGGGTGCACCAAGCTCCATGTGGGCAGGTGCAGAGGAGAAGCTGCTGATCAGCTGGAGCGCGGGGCAGCCTCTTTCAGCTGAAAGCCACAATCAGCTTGCTGGGATGTTTCAGCCCTCCCGACCTCCCAGCTCCCACCATTCCTCGCAGCTACTCATCTGTGTTGTTGCTCGGTGAGTAGCTGCTCCTCAAATGAGGAAATCTAATGTAAATGTACTGCACAGGCGCGCAGTTCAGAGAGGGCTCAAGAGCTACTCTTAGAGCCCCTGAGATCTACTGGTAGATCGCGATCTACTGGTTGGTGACCACGGTACTAAGACCTCAGATCAAGATACCAGATTATTGGTCCACGCAGAGCTACAGCTGACAGGCTGGAATCTGATTGGACAAGTGTTCCCCGGGGGCAGAGAAGCAAGTCGGGGATTCCCACAAAACATTTTGCTAATCACGCAGAGAGACATGTGTTTAGGCAAAGGGGTTACTTGAAGTTGTATCCTGCTCTTTTCTCCGCACTGGGCAGCTAGAGAAGGGGAAGTGAAAAATTCCAAGCCAGCCTGAAGTAAAAGTGAAAAAGAGAAAAGACCGAACTTGCCCCATGGTGTGTGAAAGAACTCTACAGCTTCTCATGAGCAAAGCCACTGGTAAAAAGTAACTTTGCTCCCAGCTAAGACCAATCACATGAGCTAAAGGCTTAAATAAGTTGTCATGATTATGAGGGTTAGCCAGCAGCCTGGAGATTAAGGGGTTAACTACACCTAGCCAGGTGGAGTGACCAGTAGGATTGTAGGTGGGACTTTCAAACTGGGACAAAGGAATTTGGGTTTTTTCCTTGTTTTTTCCTTGCTCCTTTTGTCTCTCTGAGCAAGCTCTCTGCAGCTACAGAGAGGGACAAGCATGTCTCTCTCTCTCTCCAAGAAACAATTCTTCACTTTCTGTAAGTAGGGTAAAGTTTAGGTAGGTTCGTTAGGCTTTATTGTTTTAAGGGTTGGGTATGGGATCTGATATCTGGCACTGCTTAAGAGATGCTTGGCTTTTCTTTTTAACTAAATTCTAGCCCATGGTGTAATTCCTCCATGAGTATATTTTGTTACCTTTTCATCTGATCCTTATGCTTGCAACAGGAATATTGTTGTACTAATAAAAGTTTTCTCTTTTCTTTTTATGAACCTGGCATTGGTTACTTGTGTGTCCTGATTTTTATAATAGGCGTGAGATCTCCCAAATGATCTTTCCCCTAATTTCATTATTAATATTTGGGTGGTGGCAGTGGAAGTTTTATTCCCAAAATCTAGGTATTTAAGATATTGGGGGAAGTTTTATACCAAAGCCTGGTAGATAAGGCTTTGGGGTACACTTGCTGGCCTCCACTTCTGCATTTATCATGCCAGAGTGGGGAAAGAGCCATGACATAAGTAGAAAGTGGAAAGACCATTGTGGAGCAATTCAGGGATGATTCGACACCCAGAGTGTGTTGAGTATCTCTTTGCAGATCGCTTATTTGCCCCTCAAAGTAGACACTAAGGGTATGTCTAGACTACATCCCTCTGTCACCAGAGGGATGTAAATTAGACATACCGAAATAGAATCATAGAACCATAGAGCTGAAAGAGACCTTAAAAGGTCATCAAGTCCAGCCCCCTGCTCTAGGCAGGACCAATCCCAACTTAAATATCCAATCCCATTTAAATATCCCGCACTTTATTAGAATAAAAATGGCCACCGCTTTTTGCCAACGTGGCAATTTGTCAGCACAAAGCGGCAGTCTAGATGGGGATTGGTCGACATGGAAAGGCTTTTCCGACCGATCCTGTAAACCTCGTTGCATGAGGCATAAGGAATTGGTCGGAAAAGGCTTTCCTTGTCGATCGATCCCCGTCTAGACTGCTGCTTTTTGCCGGCAAATTGCCGTGTCCGCAAAAAGCGGTGGCCATTTTTATTCTAATGAAGTGCGGGATATTAAAATCCCTTCATTAGCAATTTCTGTATGTCTAATTTACATCCCTCTGTCGGCAGAGGGATGTAGTCTAGACATACCCTAAATTCCTACGGCTGCTATTTAAATAGAAGATCTCAAAACCAGGGTCGCTGTAAAGCACCTACAGGAGTGGGATGTGCAAGTCATTCTGTTTATGCCAGGCCATCAGAAAGATACAGGCAATTGTGTTAACGAGGGGAGGGGAAATGGACTAGATAAACCGAAGTTTGATGTCATTTCTGTGAAGAGTGAAGTTAATCGGAGAAAGCAGCCTGAGAAGGAAGTTGCTGGGAAATGGTTTTAAGAGCTGTACTTCCTTAAATCGGCTCTGCCTTTAGCCGACTAAACCGCTTAGGTAACAGGGAATGCCCTCTCCCCCGAACTTCCTCTAAGGCCTTCAGAGGGTTCTTTTCTTGACTTGTTCAATAGGAATTCATTACTAACGGAGGTACCTGCTGAGCCAGGTAATTTGAACCCAGGCGTTGTTTCAGTTACAACCTTAATTTGTCCCGTAGTAAGTTAGGGTAGCACAACGATAAGTTAAATTAACCGACACGTCTTGCTTAAACTGGTATTTGTTCAACTACTTGCTTAATCGTTTAGTGCCCTCATAAGAGAGAGGCTGAACTTGTCTGAGTCTCAAAAATTCAGTGCAGACAAATGAGCCTACCCTGGGAAAATGGTAACATCATCAAAGATCATTCCGGAGCCCATTAATTACTAAGTCCCAGCGCTGGCACTACGTCACGGTGTAGCCTGACAGACCCCCTTCCCCCCTCCGATCTCATCCATCTTATTTGCCTCTCTAAGGTTCCTGAAGCATACAGGGCAGAAAAGGAGCAATAAAATCAGCATAGTCTATGCTGGCTCATCTGATTCTGAGAAGCTGAAAACAGATATGAAGAAAGAGCAATTAAGGCAATAAGCTGGCCTCGAGGCTATGAGAACTGCCCCGGCTGGCACCCATGTTGATACGATCACACACAGTCCCTGGGAGAGGAATCTCCCACTGAGAAAAGAATCCCCAGTACTTCTAATTTAGTTATCTCTTTACAAGTGTAAATTAAGTTCACAACTCCCTTGTAAGAACTGGTCTCACACAAGACAGACCAGCACCATTTGGCATCACAGATAAGAAAGAGAAATACGTGACCCCATGGGTATAAAGATGGGTCCAGCAGCACACTCACTGTGAGTGTCAATCTACCCTCTACCTGCTGGTCGGGTTAGGTGTTTTGACCTCCCGAGGTTCCATGGGGACGCCCACCTCGTATTTTTGTCTTTCCTAGGAATTGAGGGACCGGCCCTGGCCTGACACGCTGGAGTCGAGAGGCACAGAAGGGGGTAAAAATTGTACCTGGATGTGGTCCTCTGTCTTAAGTGTACACATAGAAAGAGTAAGCTGTTACTTGGTACCATTATTTCTATTTTTCTATCTTTATCTTCTTTGTAACCATTTTTAAGACCTATATTTTGCTAATAGTTAAGAAATAGAGCAATAGCCATTGTAACCATATGATTTATAAGCTTCCTCAATAAACCTGTAACTGTTTAAGCTTTAACCTGACTCCTTCAGTTGCTGTAATAGAACCAAGCACAATTTAAAAGAACTTCAGCCGGTCATAAAGGGACAGATATAGGGAGAGCTTGGGCATTTGGATTTGTGTCAC